CTCACCCTGCTTGGCCGGCGCCCGGCTGTCAGGCGTAAGCCTCTTAATCCGGGCGCCGGCCACGGGCCCGTGTCCTTGCCGGAGGCCTTCGGTGGTAACCGAAGGTTATATACGCTCGCCACCCCTGCCGCCGACCCTTTTGGTCGACCTCCGCCCGACCCCCGCCCGAAGCGTGTCGACAGATTTTTGACGGATTTTTATGTTATTTATATTTTATCTACCAGCATGATTGCGCATGATGTGGAAAACATCGCTTTTTACAGTGTTTCGTGGCCTTCGGCGGACATGACTTGCGTCTAACAGGGCACCGGTGGTGTCGGTTATGCGTGCCGCGCGGACAGGCTTAATCGACATTTCGTGGGTGTTGGGCACAGAAGTTGCCTAACATTTCCCCAACATAGGCCCAAGATAGCCAACATATGCCCAACATAGCCTCCAAGATGGCTCAACATAGGGCCAACATATGCCAACATGGGGCCAACGTACGCCAACATAGGCTCAACATAGGCCCAACCTAGGCCAACATGGGCCTAACATAGGCCGACCTAGGCCCAACATAGGCTCAACTTGGGCCCAAGATGTACCTATATAACATAGACCACATGGGCTCAACTTGGCCCAACCTAGGGCCAAGATGCGCACCAGATAGCTCCACCAAGTCTCGAGAGAGAGAGAGAGAGGGAGAGACACAGAGAGACAAAGAGAGAGAGAGAGAGAGACAGGACCCAGCCCTGCACATACCCAAGCCCAAATAGGCCGGCGCCCGGCTGTCAGGCGTAAGCCTCCTAAATCCGGGCGCCGGCCACGCGCACGTTCCCTTGCCGGAGGCCTTCGGTTGGTAACCGAAGGTTATATACGCTCGCGCCCCCTGCCGCCGACCCTTTTGTTGGACCTCGCGTATACCCCGTGTCGACCCCGTGTCGACCCCCGCCCGAATCCGGTCGACAGATTTTTATGTCATTTATATTTTATCCACCACCGTGATTGTGCATGATGTGGAAAACATCGTTTTTTTACAGTGTTTCGTGGCCTTCGGCGGAGACGACTTGCGCCTAACAGGGCGCCGGTGGTGTCGGTTATGCGTGCCGCGCGGACAGGCTTAATCGACATTTCGTTTGTGTTGGGCACAGAAGTTGCCTAACATATCCCTAACATAGGCCCAAGATAGCCAACATATCCCCAACATAGCCTCCAAGATGGCTCAACATAGGGCCAACATAGGCCAACATGGGGCCAACATACGCCAACATAGGCCTAACATAGGCCTAACATAGGCCGACACGGGCGGTCAGCCCCCTTCTTGCGAAGGATGCTGCCGGGACGCCCGAAGTCCCGGCCCCCGTCGTACACGAGGGTGGGAGAGCGATGCTCCCCCACAACCTTATAGCAGGGATAGGGAAAGAGACAGACACAGATACCGACATACCGACACATTCCACGACGGAGACAGAGACGAAGACGAAGACAAACAGAGACGGGAGAGGGAGAGGAAGAGAGAGAGAGAGAGAGAGGGAGAGACAGCAAAAGATACCTAGATCGTTTATCGCGCCGCCTCCATTCTACGGTTTACGGACCCTAGTGGGCCGGCGCCCGGCTGTCAGGCGTAAGCCTCATAAATATATATATATATACTTACATATACTTATACTTGCTTGGTGCACTTCTCTATTGTGCCCTCGACTCCCTGGCGATCAACACATGGCTAATGGACCGCCTTGTTGTCCTTCACGATTGACGGCTCGCCCTCCCTCCATGGTCAACCCTGACATACTCCACTACATGCAATGCAAATGAACAGGTTCCTGCCTGCCCACTGAGATCACTATATATATAATATTATATAATATATACGTATATAACATGAAAAACTATAATTACTAGCCTTAGCTTAGCCTCGTAGCCTGCAATGCGCCGAATGTAGGTCCCGCTCCAAACCTCTGGTCACTGAGGACTGAAGGAATCGAACGTCGATCAGCCTCCTGATCTGTCCAAAGCCCAAAACCGTGGCAAGGCGTGGTCTCGGAAAAAGGGGACGGAGGTTCTTTGCGACGGTGCACCGGCTTGGGTCTGATTTGCCCAGGGCTCCACAGGATCAAGGATCTGTAAAGGTTCGCGGGTGAGGTCGAATTTCAGGATTGGATTGAAGTTCCTATAAGTTCCTCAGTCCAGCAGTTGGGCAGAAAGCTTGTAAGAAGCACAATTGGGTCAGTTTGCTAAGGCATCCCTACAAATTGTAACGACCTGGGCCATCCAACGGGATCACCGCGGACGCCGGCCTGCGCTCGACGGAAGAGAGCCTTCACATTCCCAGGCTGTTCTTGCAGCACATTTTTGCATGCCTTAGATTTACAAGAACTGCCTGACCAGTATTAGGACCAGAAGACCGGTCTCTCTAGGCGAGATATGGCGAGATGGTGTTCTTCCAGGGACACCAATGAAAATAAAACAAGGACGGGATGCAGTCTTTGCTTCCGGGAAAAGGTGCAACTTCAAGTAACATGCAGCTTTATTCAGCTCACAGATTAACTTCAGCTCTTTTGCCTTCCCTGCGCCAGGCTGGGTCACATTCGAGAAAAATCGACAGCACAAACCTGAAAACCATGGCAATTGCTGTTTGAGGGTAGGTTGTAGATAGAGCACGACCTTTAGCGCGGCTTGTCGTTTTTTTTTACTGTTTTGATAATGCTTTGTTTGTTGTCGCATCGTCATGTTTCATCTGTCTTTGGGGTCACGTACGCTCATCGCCCCCTTGCTTGTCTCAGTGTTGCACAATACGCTTCATGCCTCTGGCCTACCACTTCTACACCACGCTTCCCACTTCGGGTGGGGGTGGGATGTTAACGTTCGCCTCTAGGTAAACACCTATGCCTATTGCCTATTGCACAATACCCTTCATACCTCTGCCCTGCACGCAGGTTGCTACTCATGGGTGGCAAAGCCTGAAAAACTTGATTAGTCACAAACATAAACAACAACGTAACCAACAATAACAAAGAGTAAGTTATATAAATAGACAATAGTAGTCGTAGGAATTCAAAAGGGAAGTCCTTTGCCTTTGACATCAAAAGTTGTGTAAAAGGGCATCAACATGAACCAAGAAGAATTGGCCATGGTCATGGAATCAAAGAACATCCAGAAATCCGTAACTTAAATCCTGGTGATGCACATGTGGTGCAGATTTCTTGGACCATGCATGCCAAACGAACTGTTGGCTGAGGAGTAGGAGCACGGTAGGTGCCCCAAACTCTACGTAGGTTATTGTTATAGGTCCTAAAATGTCCTACAGAACCTCTATAGGAGTGTCGGCATGCATGAAACAGAAACCAGCAAGTGCTCGAACCATCTCGAACCCAATGGTGTTTCTTAACAACTTGGGCCAGGCCGTGTGCCGTGTGCGCCCAACGCGTGCAGCCTTGAGGTTCTTCAGGGAAGTGATCCACATAACTAAGGAGATCCTGAGCAGTGGGGAGTCATCTCAATGGTGCTGATTTGGGGAGTAACATGTCCTCATTCCATCCAACCACAAACAATCCGCCAAGAGCTAGAAGGGATGAAAACCGCTGCGGTTGCCCAAGAGAGTCATTCGCCCAGCAAAATGAGTTCAATAATTGGCTCTTTCTTTGACATCTTTTCCTCACTGAGTCAAGTCTTCATCATCATGGTTGCATTTTACACAGAACCGGAGTGACCCCTGCGAGCACGTGCATCTGAGAAATCTGAAGAAGTGAACACACCTTTCAACTTGCTAGGGATTTTCCTACCATTTCCTCTCATGACCCCCAAAACCCTGCATCTGCCCCAATGCACAGCACGAGAAGCAGTGACACTCTTGTAACGCAAAACAGCCAGGGCCCAGCGATTGGACTTGAAGTGCTTGGTGCCCAGCTCTTTCCGAGCTTGTGCACGTTCCAGCTTCCTCAGGGTCAAAGCTATATTGTTTGTTGTCCTGCTTTTTCGGTCCAAACAAGGAAATCCTGGAAGTGCCACGTCCGAGCAGGTCCAAACAGGTCAAAGCTAGCAGGATCCTCCTGCACGGACCAGAAAAAAACAGGGGCATGTTGAAGGCTGCTTGGCAATTAGTCTTCTGGGGGCTCACCCATGTGAGTGTTGGAGCTTCCGCAACAATCTTGCATCATCTTGCCACAGTCCTTGCGTTGCCCGAGGGACACACCCCTCCATCGAAGGGTCAGGAGCCCAGGTCGAGTCTCTCATATCGTATTTTTGTTTTAATATGGACCACCCCCAATGGTTGGACCGGTCGATTTCCCTTCTTCCAGGGAATTGGTTGCTCCAAGGGAGGTCTCCCTATTTGAGCTACACACCCCAAGATGGGAACCTGGTCCTAGACACTGATCAAAAAACGCACAGGCCAAACGAATCCACACTGCTGCCAATGGTCTTCTGTTCTGTCTTTGGATTGAGCAGCAATGCTGAGCCCCTGCCAGAAGTTGAGGAGTCCCCAAGACTTTCCGACGAACAACCCACGAACAACCCAGGATTTTAGTTGACCTTGCTCCTACGCCTCTCAATCCGGTGCATGCCGTCCAAGCTTCGGAGCATGCTCATCCAAACCCAAGGCAGGTAATGCCTCGAAGTCCTCTAGGACTAAAGTGAGGTACATCTCACTGTTCACCTCTAGTTCCAGCTGCCGGGCGATCTCCTCCGGCTCTTTCACGTGCAAGATCGCCTGGACAAAAAAAACGGCTGAACCGCTGGTGTTTGGGCCTGCGTTTGGTCGAGAAAACCGTGAAAGGGAGGGAGGACGCGTTTTGAAGGTCTGGTACTAAGGCGTAGTTGTTAGACCCTTTGCGACGGCAATAAGCAAACAACTGCTATAGTCTTGCAGAAGGATTTTGACCAATAGTGACGTTTCTCTGCCACACCTTCTCTCCCTTCTTCATCTCCATGATGGCAAATTCAAGAGCATCAGCTACTTGCCCATCCCCACACACAAACTCCAGCGTCTTTTTCCTGCACGTCTGATTGAAACTGAACGGCGTGGTAACATGTGGTAACACTTAACGCATCTCTAACTCAAGTGTAGCTCACTACTTGGTTGTCACAGCAAAAGGTCTGCTTCACCCAAGAGTCTGGTAACCAGGAAAAGGCTCATTCTTCTCATTCAGGGCTGCTTCCACAGCAAGATGCACTGTGCTTCCATCCTTGGAAAAGCATGGAAAAGCCAATCAGGCTGGCATGCTCCACTGTCATGTGAACCTTTGACTATTCAAAAGATCCGAAAAGAAACAACATATATGAGGCTGTGGACGAGAATCCTTAGGAGTTTCATAGCCCTGTCCTTCCACAATTTGCTTCTTCATCAAGCTTTGGTTCTTCTCGAAGGAGACATCTTTCGTCTCGTAGAGTTCGTGCAAAGTCAAGGTCACTTCGACATCTGCCCTGCGAGCCAGACCCATCCCCCCCTTGCCAACAACAATCAAAGGAGCCCATATGAGCCCTGAAGATTTCTCCTACATGAACTCCTCTTCGACTTGGCAGTGGTGAGCAGCAGGTCTATCTGATTCTCAGGGAGGGAGTTCGGTCTTTGAAAAGGACAACAGTTAGAGGTCAGATGGATCCGGTCTATCCGAAGGTTTGTACTCCGAGGGCTTTCTTCAACACATCTCAATCTGACACCAGCTGGAGTTCCAAATCCCCAAAACTGCCCCAAAGAATAGGACATCATTCAATCCTTGCATCTTTCAGCATCACTATTTATTTTATAATATATTTTTGGTTCACCTTTCCAGGAACGACATGAAGTTCCCTGGGCTCCTTGCCTGGCACCTTCCCCATAATCCAGCTCTTTACAGTGTAGCAGGGCCACCTCACGCTTCTTCATTCCGACCAAGCACGCGTCGAGCACTGCAGTCGCTGATCCGAACAGCGATCTGGATCGCTCGGTTCCGAGCGTGTACTCGACGTCGGTGAGTTCTTTCAGACTTCCATCCGAGCTGGCAATCTGGATGGACATGCACACCTGGCAGAGAAAAGAACCGACTTGGTCCCCAAAACGTTTGGGTATGGGGGTGTGAGCTTGAACTACAAGTCAGTCACCGGCCTCTTCTTTCAACCGAGGCATTTTCCAACCAGATCCTTCTTCCACGCAGGTCTTGATGACAGATCCGTCCGCAAACAAATCGGTCCGAGCTTTCCATGAGATGAGCTCCACCTCATAAATCACCCGCAACTGGTCCGCAGTGTCTGCCTTGTCTGCATGTTTTTCGGCCAAGTCTTTGGGGCCAAAGGCAGCGGTCATCGTGAACTTCGCACGCTCACCCTTCCGCATGGTCGGAAGTCCATGTTCCAAGCCTTTGCACAGGTCCCCCTGGCCCAAGGTATACGTGAAGCCTCCTGTCCCGTCGCTGGAGTCCAAGTCGTGAACTTCGCCGGCCAACTCCAAGCGTCCAACGTACTGGACGGTGACCTTCGTTGAACCCCAAATGGAGCGCCGTCTCGGTGAACAACCACACATGGACGGAGAGCATGCTGACGCATGCGGTCGGGAGTTTGGATCATGGGTGACCCACCAATCACCACAAGTCTGCTGGTTTCTGTTAGAATAGACCCACAACCATCCGTGGAAACGGCCAAAGTAGCACATATATAAATACATATATAATATATCCCCGTGTCAATTCTGGGTAGGGGGTCCTGCCACAGATTTTATAGCTATAAAATGGTGAAGCCCACCAGCAAAGGGACATAAATTGGTGTGACCCCACCAAAGCTGAAATCCTATATTCTCACTAGACCAGACCTCCAAAACTTGACTCAATGACACTAAATGTACGCTCAACATGCTGCCCTCAGATGTCTGTTCAAAAAAACCAATCACTCTGCAAGGCGCACACAGAGGCATGTGGCAAACCATTTTATACGCCAACACCATCCAACACCTGTCCTATGCAATGATTTGCTCCCACAACCCACCCAGCAAAGCAGACATAGAAGTGCTAAAGTGAAGCTTTAGGATGCTTTAGGTGCGCTTCCTGAAAGCCCTCCAGGACAGTTGCAGCATGCCACAGCAGTTCCAGGATGTAGCAGGGCTCCCCAACAAGCATAATCCCAAACACACACTTATATTGCATGTCCAGGGGTGGGGTCAACCCACTCGCTAGGCCCACACCTGTGCCACACCTCTCCTATGAAATGCATTGCCCCCACCACCCACCCAGCCAGCAAAGCACACGTGCCACAATGAAGCCCTCCCTAGCAGCCTTGAAGGACAGGAGCAGCATGCCACAGCACAGTTCCAGGATGTAGCAGGGCTCCCCAACAAGGCAAATCCCAAAGACACACTTTATCACAC